TCTGAAAAAATAGACACTTTCTTCAACCATTTGCAGTCACATTCGAAATTGTTTGCGGGTATATGGCTCATTATTTCAAACACAAACACATGGAAGTTACGTGAGTTCTCCAAACAATCACAAAACATGAAAAATCTTCCAGTTCAAGTTAGCTAACTCTCATTTCTGATTAGCTCATTAGCATTTTGCAAAATAGATGCTGTATCTGACAAGGGAAGTTCACTTACTCGAAGTAGCGATTTGGAAGTTGATCTGTACCAGTGGATAGAGCTTAAAAAGTTGGTCTCAAATATACCTTCTAAATCTGCGATGCATTGTTCTGAAAAAAGTTATGAGCTTTTCTAAAGCCAAATTTTCGTGCATTTTGTGTCGCGAAATCATGATAATCGCTACAGAAAAGTGGCCAAGCTCAAGCAAACTACCCAGTAAGCATAGTAGGTCTAATTCGAGTCCATCCGAACGTTTTCGAGTTTTCTGACCATGTTGTTTATCCACAGGTCGTCATTTCCTTCCTAGATCACGATTCCTTTATGTAGGTCTACAAAAAAAGCCCATAACCTCCATCTAAAAAAACGCGTCGATATTGAGGATATACTTGAGAACATCGTTTTACGTTCTCTCCATTGATAGTTTCCAAGAAGTTTCCGACGCGTTTTTGTGAATGGAGGTTATGGGCTTTTTTGTATACATAATGGAATTGTGATCTAGGAAGGAAATAACGACCTGTGGATGAACAACATGGTCGAAAAACACTCGAAAGCGTTCAGATGAACTCCAATTAGACCTACAATGTTTACTAGGTAGTTTGTTTGAGCTTGCACAGTTTTGTGCAGAGATTATCTTGATTTTGCGACTAAAAATGCACGAAAATTTGGCTTTAAAAAAGCTCTTAACTTTTTTTAGAACAATGCATCGCAGATATAGAAGGTATATCTGAAATCAGCTTTTTAAGCTCTATCCATTGGTATAGATCACTTCGAATCGCCACTTCGACTAAGTGAACTTCCCTTGTGAGACGCTTATATGCCTCCAATCATATCTGCGATTGAAAAATGTTATTCTAGTGATATATCGACTGTGAGGAATACTGTGAGGAAAAATTCGATTTTTGATAATGCTCTGACTAATCATTTTTGAAATGACTGAAAGAACTACCTATATCTGTTTGAAAACACGATTTAGAAAAGGTCATATCATTGGAAATTCGCACAAAGCTTGAGTACCCCAGCCTTGGAATGGTAAAATTGGCTTATTGACTTCGATGGAGTTGTGTCCTCAATTCAAAATGTTCGTTAAAACGTTGAAGTTGAAGATGAGATTGATTTTCTCAAATGTATTTGAAAAGTTAAATTTTCATGTCGATGAACAAGCGAATACTCGAGTTCGAAAGATATTGAAAGACGCTCTTTCATTGATGAAATGTTTTTTTTTAACTCAAGAGGAAATCGGGGTTGTCGCAACAATCTCGTGATATAGTGCGATGTGACCACTGCAATTTTTGAGATTTCCTTAGATTGGACTTCCTCAATCTCATTCAATGTGCTGGAAGTCAAAGGAAGTTTCGCATGTTCTTTGTAGGATGCACAGGTGCTTCAAAATTGGCTGCTAAGGTTTTCTTTGCCCTACTCAAGCTACGGCTTGGTTTTTTCATTCTTCCTTTAATGTTACTAGATAGGGAAGTTCGTTTGGTCGAAGTGGCGATTCGGGAGCTGACGTATACCTACGAAAAGAGCTTAGAACGCTGATCTTAAATATAGTAGCTCCCTATATCTGCGAAGCGTTTTCCTATAGGAAGTTTTTTCTATAGGTTTTTTGTATTTATGATGGAAGCGCGGTCTAGAAGGAAAATTACGACCTATAAGCTACAAATTAGATAGACAACACTTGAAAACGTTCAGATGATGTCAGGTTAGATCACAGTGCTTATTAGGTGCTTTACGTGAGCCTCCATATGTTTCTTTGAGAACTGTCGTGATTTTGCGACTAAAAATGCACGAAAATCTGGGAGAAGAAAAGCTCATAATTTTTTTCAGATGAGCGCATCGCAGATATAGAAGGTACATCTATAAGCTCCTGCAAGACGAAGGCGGCTGGTTCGAGGCGCGACGTGGCTGTGACGCGGCTGTGACGTTGCTGTGACGCAGCCATGTCGCAGCCGCGTTGCACATCGAACCAACCGCCTTCGTCTTGCAGGAGCTTATAACAGCTTTCAAAGCTCTATTCATGGGTATACATCACCTTCCGAATCGCCACTTCGACCAAGCGAACTTTCCTTGTAAGTCGCTAGTCAGTTCGCTTGTGTAGTTTGCAGGGTGTGCCAAGATTACCTGCGCCAAATTTGCAGCAGTGCCACGGAAAAAACCGTTGAGACACGTAGGCTCAAATTTGTGCCATAGAATGTCCTAATCAAACTCTATTAGAGGCATTTTACAGAATTCAAAAAGACCTTTTTTCAAAATAGGATTGAAAGAATCAGACTAGTCGTTTTGAAAAAAAAAACAAAGATGGGATTTCTAGAATTTCATGTTTTGCTCTGCAACTAAATAAACTTGAAGTCTTCCTGAACCATTCCGAACTGCTTTGCATTGATACATACTCTTAGTTGGATTTACTGGGATTCATTCTTTCGCGAAATACGGAAATGTTTTTTGCGAAAAATACCCGCGTATGAACAACGATCTTATGTTTAAGAGTCCCAGACGCGCAAAACCTTCCAGGTAAAAAGGATTTCTTTACATGAAACTTGTAGAAGGAATCTTTTATGAGCGGTTCGTGAAAACAGCTTTGAAACTAACTCAGAAGACATTTTCTGTTTCTCAAGCGCACTCAGCAGGGTAAAAATACCACTGATTTTCGATACGCTGTCTCCATATATGTTTTTGAAAAAGCGAAAATCCATCTTCGAATCAACCTTTAGGTTTCCAAATAACAGTGTTAAAGATGAAGGCTTGCTCTACTTTGAAGCCCACTTCAAAACAAGAGGAAAGGTTCTCAAAAGAATATCGTGTAAATTCCTGAAGCTGTGTCTGCGTACAGAACACATTTCAATTGTCAAGAGGATCCGAAATTTCTTCGAAAGATTAAGCAGCTAAACTCTGATTCGACCATAGCATTACGATGCTAATGTTGGTGAGAACATATGCATGCTTGAACCGTCAACAATCCCGTCTTGTATCCTTCTAGCACCCAAGCGAACAGCGCAGGTGATTTTGGCGCACCCTGTTATATTGGAACCAATCAGTAAGTGAAGCAATGGCGCCTGATCTCTGAATCGCGGAATTGCTAGAACCCTCTTGGGGGGGGGGGGATGATGGTGCTAATGTGAAGAGCGGAACTCCTCCACAAGAGGAACAAGGCCTTACCGCCTGAATTCGAAAATCAAGAGCTCTGCCCATTTTAGCGAATTTCGGAGATATCCGGACAAAACCGACAGTCACAAGTGAACATAGAGAATAGCCAAAGAAATTTGAAATAACGAGATGAATCTGATGTCGCCTACAATTAAACTGGAAATTTTGAAGAAAACAGAAATCCAAAGCCGGTAGTGCTAAGATGGAGTTAGGAACAGTGTTATGAATAGTGATATAAGTGTTACTTATACACAGGTGCTGCAATCGCATAGAGCAATCTTTTCGCTCTCGTGTATTCAAAATACAGTCAAGATGGTATCAAGGTTTCCTCGAGCTAACAGAAAATCAAAATTGCTATAGCTCTATATGAACATAGGTCTGTTGTTATTTATTGCTACATGATTAAACGAAAAAAAATTTGCGCTGTTTCTTAGCAAGCGATTTACCGTATGTGCTTCAAAAGCGCAAGATGCGCATCTCACTGACTTTATTTCAAAAGACATCTTCTCCGATAAAGGTCATAGATGGGGGATATGTAGCCGCAGGAGGTGGTTGATGGTAAAGACATCGTAAGGAAATTTCGGCGAATAATGTAGAGAATTCTGGACAAAATCGCAACTGCCAGGAAACTGACAATATCTTATAGAAAAATTACGCTAATTCTCTAGCTGGAGCTGATCTAGTGAAGTAAACATCTCAAGAAACTCGGGCATTTTTATTATTTGAAAGTTTGAAATTATTTCATGAGAATACAAGAGAAAAACATTTGTCTGCATTACTTCCTCAAATTGCTACAGCGGGAGTATGATAATCGGGAGCTTCACTATTCAGCCATCCATTTCTCCTTTCATAACGCTTCATTATAACTTGTGTTATAGTGCTATATTGCCCGGACGCAATATTTTGTCATGCTATGGTTTGATGATAATGGCAACTGATTTTGGAATAATAATTCCATGTTCTACCGGAACTTCTTAAGTACAGACTGTCGTGATTCGTTTGTTCAAAGCAATCATATACCGGCTCACCCACTAGTCAGTTTAACAAAAAAATGTTGAATCTGAGATGACGGATTTAAAAAGTTGGCATGTCTCTTCATTTGGACGATGATACAAAGAAACTAGCACCCAGAACAAATTCTATTCATCTACTGTTACAAAAGATTGTTTTCACTGCCTTTACTATCAGGACGAGCACAAGTAGGGGCGGAGTACTGGGCGGAACCACACTTCGCCGCTGCACTTGTGCAAAGTGCCTTCCAAGCGCCCCTGGAGGTGCCAGCACTAAGATACCCCTGCAACGGAAGGCGGCTAGGCTTTGGGAATCTTTCCACAGTGGGGCCCGTCCTATTCGCATCTTGTCAACTTTTACCGAATTCTGAACGCCTGCCAACCCCTTCTCCCTGTGCTCGCGCCCTTACTATCTCCTACAGAAGAGGGGGGCAGACCCTTGTCCTTCTGGACGATTTATGAAGATTACAGCTACAACTCCTGCTGCCAAAGTGCTCTCGGGTCTTATTTGAGGTTACTATTCAGATTATCAGTAAGACATGCAGAAAAGGGGTCATAGGACGTCTTGAGGCTTCTTTCAGTGAATAACTTCTTGTGGAAAGTTCAAACTTAGCTCCAAAGACTGAAGTATCCATCCATTTTAGCACACAGTCGTCGTGTTTAGACCCAGCGGAGGCTTCAGTAAGACTCTCCCGAATTTCGTTGACGAGCACCACATAGATCCGAGCTTCTTGTCTAAATCAAGCAAAGAAAGAACTTATACAATGAGACAGCAAAGGAAGTGAAGATTATGAAAAAACTGCACTGACCAATTGCTTCATGGGAAAAGATGAGTGAGGGTGCACTGGAACGCTCCATAGCGTTCGCCTTCCCGCTCAATTCTTGATCTTCAATCGTGAGGCTATCTGCAATATCGAAGTGTTAGACAAGTACGGTAAATCTCCGATTAAGGCTACAAAAACGGAGATACTGTATTTCGCTTAGGGCAAGCCAATGACTAAAAACACAACAAGAAGAACTGTATATGATATGACATGGAAAGCTGACAAGAATTGTGTGCCATATAAGGGATTGATTAATTGATCTCTACATGTGATCTTCAGTGGGCTGTCAAAGCAGTTCGTAGCGAAAGTATCCTGTATTTTTCTTTTCGCTGAAAGGAAAGCCACAATTTTGAGCTGAATTGCATGCTACGTGCTAGGTAGCTCAAATCAGACTTTCGGGTCAAAAAGGGCTGTCGTAAATGAGTAAAAAACATTCTAGAATGTAAGTTGAGATTCGATGGTATCCACGTGAATTTAATCAAAGCATATTTAGTAAAAGAGAAGGACTAAAAATGGAGTCACACGACTTATTCTTTAGCAACATAATCATGAAAGCGTCTCTAAGCACACTGCAACATGTGCTGTGAAAGTAGAAATGAAATGAAGTAGGAAGATAGAGCAAACTAAATTGAAGGACATGCTTAGGGATGAGTGGTAGGAAAATGACATAGGCTTTACAAAAAGTAACATTTTTGTGGGATAAAGCACCAGCTTCTGCTCATTATCGTGCTGATGTCGAATATTATCTTAGAGGCCTAAGGGGATCAAAAGGAACCAGTAAAAATATGAAAAAGTTTGCCGCATATCGGTCATAAGGTTCAAAGTCCGTAATCGATTCATCCGTAGTCAATGATCAGAGCCAAATTTCGTTCTATTTGTAATGATCGATGCTGATACTCTCAGAAATTGCAAAAACGACACAGGCAAGACCTTAGGCCTTACGGTCATTTCGCATTTTATTTTTAAAATCGATAACTTCATCTTCTTATGAAAAACTATGGAAGTAGGCGATATTCTATGTTTGAATCGATCGGTATACTTTTTATTCTATTTTCTCCTTACTTACCAACAAGATCCATGAAAAGGTGAGCCAAGATGCGAAAGCGTTTTTGTCATGGTAATTGAAGCTCAAATATGTGAACACTCAAAGTAAACCCATGGTTATGATGAGAGTTGAAATATTCAGCGAACACAAAATATGCAACCAGCCTTTGAGGCGAATGACTGAACAAAAAACATGTAGTGATGGTAAAGAATCCCTCTATAACAAAAAAATGGCAACGCATTGATTAGCACTTTTTGAAGCCACCTTTAAATTCGTTGCCGGAGCCCGCCTACCGTATCGTGCGCGACGTTGGCCTAAATTTTTGCTTGGGTTTTTTTGAGTGCGTGGTTTTTGTGTGCGTGTTATGGTTTTTTTCTTCTTTTTTCTTTTCTTTTTTTTCTTCTTTCGGTTTGTCACTTCAAAACTTGTTCCCATAGTTTGATGCATTTTCTTCAATATCTCTTCATTCATTGGTCGGAGCCAAGAGCTACTTACAGTCGAATCATTTCATATGATTATGTGTGCATCGCACACACCGTCCATCTTTGGCGTCTTCATCCTGGATTCGCAATCGTAAAACCGTAAGAGACTAATCAATTGCAATCGCTTACTTCATTTTAAAGTGAATAGTAACTAAAAAGGAGAGAAAACATTAAGAACACATCGGAGACGCTCACCGGAAGAGTTGTCTGCTCCAAGAAATCAGGATGGGAACGCCAAAGCTGGACAGTGTGTGCAATGACACACATGATAATATGAAATGATTCGACTGTACTTTCCTTGGAAGGAGATGTTACACATCGTCTGGTTCCATCGTTATCCAGCTTGTTTTACCATTTGCATCCAAATTCTTGGAAAGTAATGAGGTCACAAATGCCTTTTTCATTGTAGTGCAACGATGCGCTGAATCAGTGAAGACATTCTCTATCAATAATCCATCATGGAATCATCTGGTGAGCGGATTTTATATGTGGATTGTTCAGCGCTTGAGTTCAAAGTAAGTTTGTGAAGAACATTTTTTTGTACTTTTTTTTGATGATTTTGCTTCATCATTATGGTTCTTATCAGTACAAAAGGCAAGTGAATGGAGCAAGTTCTGCCTAATTCCTTTTTTATGGCATTCCAAAGTGTTTCAATTTTTGACTTTTGTTTTAGTGGAGTTGACTGCATTCTTTTGAGTGTGCGAATCTTTGATTTACTCTGCGATGTTAACAGGAAATAGGGAAGAGGATGTGAAAAAGGCAAAATTTTGCTTAGAAGGATTATACTGGCTTGCGGCTAGTACTTTTTTCCCTTTGCCAAAAAAGATCTCACTCTCCAATATCTACTATTGTGTTTCGAACAGATATCATATTGGAATGTGACTTCGTATCATGCGCGAATTCGCACAGGCACAATAAGTGAATTGCTACAAAATACCTCGACTTGTTTCGGCTCAGTCCGTGGAGTTGAAGCGCTCAAGGTGAAAAACGCGATGGTTGGAATTTTGGCAGTTTCTAATTTCTAGCATAGACTGACAGGGAACATTACTTTGTTATGAGTATAAAAAAGCTGTCTTCTTTCACTTTCGAAACCAAGTTTATCATGTGCGAATTTCACACTTCTTAGCGTTAGGAAATGCTAGGAAATGTGATAGGTAATGGTTTGTAGAGCTGGTAGAGATGATTTGATGTTCTGATTACGAAAATTATACTCACTTTACACAGCAAGCTTCTTTCGTGACCTTAGTAGTGTTGGGTAAGAGATGGAGAATTAAAATGAACTTCGATGGAATCAATCAGTATGCTGCTCACGGCAGTCATTCCTTGAATGCTTTGGTGTATGATATGCATCGGTCTTCTTTTTTCTTCTTCACATTACTCGGTCGTAATATATCCCTGTTTTGAGTGAATTCGATTCTTGATAACGCCCCCCTCCCTCGGTCTTACCACCAATACGACCCCGCAGGCGGGCGCCCTTGACCCCACGCTCAACCCTGATGATAAACACTGGTTGTTGCTTTGAACCAGCTTTACAGGGGGCACATCGCAATGGTACGTAAAGGAGAACATATGCACGAAATTAGTTGATATGTCAGAACCTAGTCAACCGGAATTTGTGCTTGAAAATATTATGCGCATGAAAATATTATAAAATTATTTTAATTACAATACATTATAAACACGTTTCGGAACGGTGCTGCACATGGTGCAGCACGCTGCTTCGAAAAATCTTTTTGAAGTTTACAGGAAGTTTTCTAGTCCAAGATTATCAAGTTAAAGGCCGAAGATTTATCTATCAGTCCCTTCGCAATATACATTGCATCTGCAAAAGAGAAAGTGGTTTTGCTGAATTGGCAGCTAAAGGACTCTGCTCAACCTCCTGTCTCGTTTTGTGGCATGAAAAAGCTGAGAATCTATTGTGAACATTTGTTCAATCTTTTTGTCAAATTCTTTCAAACTGCCATAATTTCAGACCGCGCTCATTGGTTTCCTACGAACAATTGTGCTTGCTATTCGATCACCCAAAGCAGAGCTTGTAGCTGGCTTATCTTATGATACGATGTCTTGGAAATGGTGAAGGCAGAATCAGAGAAAGAAGGGATTTTTCGTGACGAATGTGCCGCAGCCGAATTCATTCTAACACAATGGAGAAGTGTTCTTGGTGTTGATGAGGGAGTCCTCGACTGTTTCGACTTTCTATTGTAACATGGACATCAATCTCGTGTTAATCATGTGCAGTTAGTCAGTGTCTACTTCAATGCTTGTAATACTTACGGCAGTATGAGTATGATGCTTTATGGCTATAAGTAGCTGCCAATACGTTCTACTCCTTATTTTTGTCACAACTAATAAAACTACACAATCAGAAACTTCTGGTCTCTTTTGTTGTCTGCATTCAAGAAAAGTATAGTTTTTCTGTAATGAAGTCGCGAGCTTTAAGGTAGTGTTGATGAGGTAATGTCAAGCCAAATTATCCTTCGTTAGCTTTTTGCTTAATAGAAAAATGGAAATAGGGCTGGGGACGACTGGCGAAATGGTATCACAAGAAAGGCTCGAGGAGTCGAAGTGGCAGATCACCACAAACATATCTCTACGAAGAAGTTGAAATGATTTCGAACCTGCCTATTATATCTGCACAACTGTTTTGGGAAGGAAGTTATGGACGTTTTGATATGCAATAGGGGATAACATATTTAAAATTGGTTAGGGGGAAGACCGCAGCAAGAACACTAGATACTCCCACTAGGACTACAAAATCTAACATCCAGTCCTATTTTCACTGGACTATAGTAATTACACTCAACTTATCGTATATTACCACTATTGATAGGGTGAGGGGAGGGGGAAGAGAAATCAGGAAGATGGTTCGGACCATGAGCGCCTTGGCAGTAGACTTTGCTTCCTTTCTCGCTTGCATCTTGAAAAACCAAGGCAAACTTATCCAATCGTCTCCATGATGTTAAAAATTGCGAACAACAAGCGCGATAAAGCAGTGCTCATGATGTGATGTGAAAGCTGGTCCCTAACGGTGGCTGTTGCTTTGTGAAGCAGATGCGGACGGGAGTTTGACCGCTTTTCATGATTAAGCACGTACGCCCGCACACGGCTCGCTTTCATTAGCAGCCGCCTTCGTTAGAGAATAGCTGATAATAGGGAGTAGGCCAGATTGCCTTCCTCTTCATTCGCTTAGGCCACAAGCGCCGCAAAATGTGGCGCGTGGAGAAACGGTCCTTCCGCATGGGCGTTTTCAGCGTCGCTCCGATTTTCACTTGTCCAACACGCTACCACGCCGCAAATCTTTCCTTTCCCCTCTTGCTTAGGCAAAAGCCGCGCAGGGTGTGTCGCGCGCGGAATGTTTGTGTGGAAAGCATTATGGTTGTGCGAAACGCCCTACATCGTGGCGCGCGGCAAGAAGCATCTTTTTATATAATTGAAATTTTTATACAGTTACGTACAAAAGCATGCAAGCAGCTCCCACGGCCGTCATCCTGTTTGTAGAATGATGTTTGTATTATTGCTTTCAAAAATATGAAAGGTCAATCTGCTTTCAAGGCCAGATTGTTCTTCCTCTTTATTCGCTTAGACCACAAGCGCCGCAAAATGTGGCGCGTGGAGAAACGGTCCTTTCACACGAGGGTTTTCACCGTCGCCCTGATTTTCACTTGTCCAACACGCTACCACGCCGCAAATCTTTCCTCCCCCTTTTTGCTTAGGCAAAAGCCGCGCAGGGTGTGTCGCGCGCGGAATGCTTGTGTGGAAAGCATTATAGGCAGTGTCCCGTCAGATTTTGCGTTTCCACCTTTCTGCAAGTTTAAAGCCTTTTCGACTCGTAGAACCAGAATCTGAGCTTAAAACCGGGTGAAAAGACCGTTTTGGGGGAGTTTCCTCAGTCTCCAAAAAGCGGCTCGGGAGAATTTCAAGGGAAATTTGGGAGGCCCCGGCAAAAAAACCCTGCCTGTAATTTTGCTTTGAAATAGCATGCACAATGCAAAGAGTGGTAGTGGGGTCCCGCGTCGAATAAGCAAGAGAAGAGGCCTAGAGGTAAGTGGGGGTGGCCAGAACCCCACCGCAGCGATATCACCCAGGGCGCGAATCTGCCGGGACACTGCCTTTATGGTCGCCACGAGTAGGGCGTGCGAATCGCCCTACATCGTGGCGCGCGGCAAGAAGCATCTTCTTTTCATATATGCATTGCAATTTCTATACAGTTACGTACAAAAGCATGCAAGCAGCTCCTACGGCCGTCGTCCTGTTTGTAGAATGATGTCTGTATTTTTTCTTTCAAAAATATGAAAGGTCAATCTGCTTTCAAGGCCAGATTGTTCTTCCTCTTTATTCGCTTAGATCACAAGCGCCGCAAAATGTGGCGCGTGGAGAAACGGTCACACGGAGGTTTTCACCGTCGCCCTCATTTTCACTTGTCCAACACGCTACCACGCCGCAAATCTTTCCTCCCCCTTTTTGCTTAGGCAAAAGCTGCGCAGGGTGTGTCGCGCGCGGAATGTTTGTGTGGAAAGCATTATGGTCGTGCGAAACGCCCTACATCGTGGCGGCATGAAGCATCTTCTTTTCATATATGCAATGATTTTGAAAGTCCAAATTTGTCAAATACCTTATGTTCGGTGGAAAACATTTGAGTAACACTCATTCAGCATTCTGCTGGGTATGCACTTTCGTTGTAATCATGATATATCATTATGATTTCGTGCTCTGACTTTTGTTTCACATTACTAGATCCCCGACTTGTGCATCTACCACATGAACGCGAACTACGCGGCAAAGCGATAGCTATGCGCATTCTCCATTTGTGACTTCTGTGGTGCAGCTTAGCTGCTTCGAATGAAGGGAGAAAAGGACTTTCAGAAAAAGAGGAGATTCGGGCTTGATTTAAAAATTCTGAAGAATAAAAACTATGTACTTAGACTGGAAATGCTAACGGCACTATTTCAGTATTCGGCGCCGAAAATCAAAGTCGTGTTTCGCTGAAACTCGGTCCATGCTTTTTTTCTTCTCAAAAACGACATTTGGTAGGGCTACGTTGGGTATAGGTAAGGGTCAAAATCGGTATCGGTTAAACTTTGGGGTTTTCTGACGTGCTGATCACAAACATCATATTCTTTCTGCATTTTAGAGCTCTTTCATGGAATTGCGGTGGTTATACGGTATGGGGTGGAACTACGAATTTGCTAAAGTTCGCCTAGGGAGTAAGCCCGCTGAACATGAATATCATACAGCTTCTGTAGCGCCATTTTCTTACTACGATGCATGTAAGGTGGATGATTGCAGTTTCAAATTTGCACAAAACTTTTCCTAGAAAGTTTCAAGCATGCTGATTAGGGATACTATGCTTGCTTGCTGCATCAACGCGTTATTGTGGAGTTACGATAATTTGCGGCATATAGGTAGGCATTCTTTCGTCACATCACAAAAATGAAATGGCTTTATCATGCAAAATGAGCAAGATTTTCGTGATCAGCAAGCCAGATGATCTGGCACTAATTTTCAGGCAGGTCTATTTTTTGACCACTGCCATACACTACAGTGACTCCTTGAAAAGGTCCCAAAACGCAACGAAATATGATGCCTGCGACCAACATGTACAATACCTTTTAGATCAAACCGCAGCCAAACTTAAGACTTTGTCCCCCTACCGTAAACCTACAATAACTTCACGAAAAAACCTTTTTGCAGAAAAAGTATGATATTCGTGATCAGCATGCCAAACAGGAATCCCTAGACTGAGATTCAGCGAAGTCCGCGATCTGACCTCCCGACCATATACCCACAGCAGCCTCAAAAGATGGCGCTACCGCGCAGAATTGACAACCCACCTACTAGACGAAGTTTGAACAGCATCCAAGACTTTGACATTTTGGGGTCCGAATATGGAATAGCGTTCATAGTATGGCAGCATGAGCATCAAGATTGAAATCGTTATTAGCGATAGCTCCTTATATGACGAACAAAGAATGAATAACTTGAATGTGATGTTTTAGGTTTAAAAACTTGTAGCATAGCATTTTGGCTAAGAAAATCGGAAGAACTCATATTTTGAGGCTAGAGTGAAAAGGAGCCGCCTCAAATACTTTCACGGAAAAAACCGCTAACGCTATATGAAAATTTAAGCTGAAAGGAACAGGCAATACATTGCGACAAGCCACAGAAGGGAGAGCTACGGGAAGGATGCTTTACAAGAAGGAGAAGCGCTGCGGTTATTCACTGCGTAGGCGAGTCTCGAGAAAAAGTACGAGGTGCAGGGTTTGCACAAAAATGAGCTTCACTGAACGCAACATCTTTTTTCGAATGCCAGCGGCAATTCTTGTTAGCACAATGACGACAACATGACCCCATACTGGGTCATGCAATGACTGGTACGTGGGGCAATGTGACCCACATGGGTCGCTCCAAGTTAGTTAAGATGATTATAGTTTCGGCATGCATTCACTTCAGAAGTTTTCCTACGCTCTGAGGTTATTTTTAGAAGTCACTTCCGCGTTTCTTGGCTGCCTCTTAAAATTGCTGTAGTTGCACTGTAGATGACGATCTACGTCTTAGCTAGAAATTTTCAAGTTTTTGGCTTTGCCCCACAAGGCAGACATCTAAAAATGCGCGTTGTCGTCAAGTTTTGGTCTGAGTGTCCTTCCACAAGCAGTCGTACTTGCCATTTTATATGCGCACCGTGCCTTCCCAGCAGAACTTTAGTCAATACATCTATAAGTTTATTAGCTTTCGTCATTGAAAAAAGTGTCGAGGATTTGGTGACCCAGTATGTCATTTCTCACACCTGATGGTCATTGGGCCGCTAGTAGCTGCAAGAAGTACATACGGATTGATTGGTGGATCTCTACAACATGATCTCGATTGGACCTTCAGATCAGCAAGTGGTGATTCCCGCGTTTATTATTTGCAAAAGAAAAATCCGATAATCATGAACACGGGTGTTCTTCAGGATATTGCTATGTAGACAGCGTCTCAATTCAAACTTTTGAAGAAAAGGTTTTATTTTCTTCATGATTAAGGCCGATTGTGCTCGCTTCCAACAACTAGGCGTTTCAAATTCGATAGTATCTCAATAACTCGAAAGCTCTGACAAAGTCCAGTTGAAGCATTAGAAAAAGGTAAAGATTGAATTTCTCCTATCTTCGATAGATCTACAGTACATTCATAAAAAATGAAACAAACAATAAATAAATGAAAGTCCTTCCCGGAAATACAAAAAAGCATCACCTTTTCACATTTAGCCTCCAAAGGCACCGTCCACCCTAAGTTGGGAGTCTTGAGCTTTTGGCAGCTTACGACAATAGGATCCCCTATCAAGCCATTGCCCTAGTCGCGGCTCAAAATGTCGCCGCGGAAGCGTGAAAATCGCTTCGGAATAGCGAAGAGGCATGAGACCATCCGCCCCTCCAGCAACGCCCGCCCATCCGTGCGCCCATCCAATCACTGCTCCGGAGAACCGACTTGTGGGTTCTCTAAGACGGGAATTGTTGGGGTTTTTGCGGATTCTCGACTTCATATTCCAAATCCTGGACATGAGAAGACCGGGAACGATCAGAACATGGAAGTCGAGAATCTGGGTGTACGGTGCCTTCGACTTGCTCCCAAATGTAGTTAAAGCGCAAACTTTGCTCATTACGTAGCCGATGTCGGTTGTGCAATGGAATGAAATTTGGATTTCACAGCATTCTGTGAGGAACTTCTGCAGAAAAAAATTGGAAGTACCCAGTTTTTTCAGCATTTTGGGAAATCCAAAACTGCCTTTTTAGAATTTTTTTTATAATTTCTCTGCATTAAATGACGAGGAAATGCTGCCGTTCTTTTAGATTAATTGCACTAGGTCTAGGTGTACACTCTGTACACTCTAGATGTACAGAGGAAAAGTTCTACAATCGCTTTTTGCATGAGATTTTTATGCGGCAAAGATGGGCCTCACCGACCAGCCAAGTTTGAGCGAAAATTTTTCCGCTTGAGATTCCCCAAAAATCCAGTATTAATAAGTTTTTTATAGCTCAGAACTTCGCAATCATTAGGCATATTTTTTAAAGATAATCCAATCATTTTTCTTGGGTTTAGAACAAGGAGAGTGAAAGCAAAGAATTTTATGTTTTAGTCACTTGTCTTTGAACGCATGGAACTCCGGTTCAAACAGAGATTTGCGAAAACGAAAGCACAGATCAGAAACTGGAAGAATCGGGCTTTCAGACATCAAAAAGGTTTCTGGAAAAAGGGTTCTTCCTTGAGAATCACTTTTTTTGAAAAGACGTGAGAAAAACGTGCATCAGTAATGGGACAACCTAATATTTGAAGTCTGAAGCGGCATAAAACGAAATGTGAAATCAACTAAACTTTCATGGTTTACGTTAGTGGCGGATATCAACAGACATAAATCTCTCTCTATTTTTCAGAGGACTTGTATATCACTCAGACAATTGCATCGGGAAGTTCGCGGGTGCTTGCTCGGCCACCAATCATCCATGCCGCGAGCTGCCCGGTATAAACCGATATTGAACCCGGCAAGTGACCGCGGCGCATCCTGTAAGCGCCCGATAGTTGACCCGATTAGCATGCTTGTGAGGCCTAGGAAGAGTGGAAAAATTTTGGCCTGTCTTTCATGACAACGACTGAGTACAAATTGAGCAACTTGTTAGCTCATCTGTCGACATCATCTACTGTCGTCGATAACCGTT